TCTATTTAAAGTAATAGCTTGGTATATCGGGAAAATACACACATTGGCTTTCTTTCAAAGTAAGATGAGAAAATCAATATCACTCTTAAACTGCAACTTATCTTTTAAAATGTTGTTGATCATACCGAATAAACAAATATATACTTAATATTAATAAAGCGAGACGTTTTAAGGACTTCTAGGTGACATAATACAACGCTCTACTGGAGAAGCGCCTCCGCCAACCAAAACTCAACTGAAATTTAAGAATGACTTCAATTGATTGTGATTTAAAAGCCAAAACCATATTCATCATCTGCCCTAAAGTACACTCCTGCCTGAAGGCTTTATCTCCTTGTTTCATTTCCTCTCTTTGTGAATGCCTCCCTCTACCTACAGAGCTGAGATTGCATTTGTTTGTATATGGTGAAAATTAACTCAACCAATCCATTAAACATTGTGACATCACAAAGTGGCCAATATCTGATCAGCTCATTTTCAGACAGGTTTTTATATAAATGGATCGGGACAAAAAGAGAGAATCTCTTAACACCGAGGGGACACATGTTTATTTTTTAAAGACCTGAAAAAGTGGATTTTGCGCAATAGGTGATTAGTTAAATTAGTTAAATGTTGTTCCTCTGGTTATACCTGCAAGTGAAAATCTCAACACTTTATTTATCTAAGAATCATAACTGTAAGACAATGTTAGTTATGTCTATATAGATATTGGACAAAGTAGAATGTCTGCAACTTTACCTCAATGTTTACATTAGTATTTTTTGACTACTCTTATTTGTTTATTACTCTTATTGTCCCTCCATCCATCCATCTTCTTCCGCTTATCCGTGGTCGGGTCGCGGGGGTAGCAGTTCCAGCAGAGAGCCCCAAACTTTCTTTTCCCTGGCGACATCAACCAGCTCTGACTGGGGGATCCCAAGGCGCTCCCAGGCCAGCGAAGAGATATAATCCCTCCACCTGGTCCTAGGTCTACCCCTTGGTCTCTTACCAGCTGGACGTGCCTGGAACACCTCCCTAGGGAGGCGCCCAGGTGGCATCCTAACTAGGTGCCCGAACCACCTCAACTGGCTCCTTTCGACGCGAAGGAGGAGCGGCTCAACTCCGAGTCCCTCCCTGATGACCGAACTTCTCACCTTATCCCTAAGGGAGACACCAGCCACCCTGCGGAGAAAACCCATCTCGGCCGCTTGTATCCGCGATCTCGTTCTTTCGGTCATGACCCATCCTTCATGACCATAGGTGAGGGTAGGAACGAAAATGGCCCGGTAGACAGAGAGCTTTGCCTTCTGGCTCAGCTCCCTTTTCGTCACAACGGTGCGGTAAAGCGACTGCAGTACCGCTCCCCGCTGCTCCGATTCTCCGGCCCATCTCACGCTCCATTGTTCCCTCACTCGAGAACAAGACCCCGAGATACTTGAACTCCTTCACTTGGGGTAAGGACTCATTCCCTACTTGAAGTGGACAGTCCATCGGTTTCCTGCTGAGAACCATGGCCTCAGATTTGGAGGTGCTGATCCTCATCCCAGCCGCTTCACACTCGGTTGCGAACCGATCCAGTGAGTGCTGAAGGTCGCAGACCGATGAAGCCATTAGAACCACATCATCTGCAAAAAGCAGTGGTGCAATCCTTAGTCCACCGAATTGCAGACCCCCTCCCCCATGACTACGCCTCGAAATCCGATCCATGTATATTACAAACAGGATTGGTGACAAAGCGCAGCCCTGGCGGAGGCCAACCCTCACCGGAAAAGGGTCCGACTTACTGCCGAGGACCCGGACACAGCTCTCGCTTTGGGAGTACAGAGATTGGATGGCCCTGAGTAGAGACCCCCTCACCCCATACTCCCGCAGCACCTCCCACAGTAACTCCCTGGGAACTCGGTCATACGCCTTCTCCAAGTCTACAAAACACATGTAGACCGGATAAGCGTATTCCCAGGCCCCCTCCAGGATCCTTGCGAGAGTAAAAAGCTGATCCGTCGTTCCACGACCAGGACGGAATCCGCATTGTTCCTCCTCAATCTGAGGTTCGACAATCGGCCTGACCCTCCTTTCGAGTACCTTAGAGTAAACTTTCCCGGGGAGGCTGAGTAGTGTGATGCCTCTGTAATTGGCACACACCCTCTGATCCCCCTTTTTAAAAAGGGGGACCACCACCCCGGTCTGCCACTCCTTCGGCACTGTTTCCGACTTCCACGCAACGTTGATGAGACGTGTCAACCATGACAGTCCCTCAACACCCAGAGCCTTCAGCATTTCCGGGCGGATCTCATCCACCCCCGGGGCTTTGCCACTGTGGAGTTGTTTGACGACCTCAGTGACCTCCCCCCGGGAGATTGGTGTTGATCCCCCGTCATACTCCAGCTCTGCCTCTAACATAGAGGGCGGAGTTGTCGGGTTCAGGAGTTCCTCAAAGTGTTCCTTCCAACGCCCTAACACTCCATCAGTTGAGGTCAACAACGTCCCATCCTTACTGTACACAGCTTGGATGGTTCCCTGCTTCCCCCTCCTGAGGTGTCGGACAGTTTTCCAGAACAACTTTGGTGCCGCCCGAAAGTCCTTCTCCATGTCTTCTCCGAACTTCTCCCACACCCGCTGCTTTGCCTCGGCCACGGATGAGGCTGCTGCCCTTCGGGCCTGTCGGTACCTTGCAACTGCCTCGGGAGTCCCCCGGGATAACAAATCCCTGAAGGCCTCCTTCTTCATTCGGACGGCTTCCCTGACCACCGGTGTCCACCAGGAGGTTCGACTCTTATTGTATTTAATTATAATCTATTACCTCCCACAAAAATAAATAGTTAATACGTACAACTATTTAACCGGGGTGCTGTGTTTGGAGTTAGATTCAAAGTTCTATAACAGAAAAACAAGATGTTGAGCACATGGGTCGAATCAAAATTGTTATTTTTTTATTTTTGTAAAAGAACATTTGATACAAAAGAACATATTGGGGCCCATTAATAATTCACAAGTACAAATATGCTTTTTTTCTTTTACCCAGTATGTAGCCACAAAAATACATTTTGTAAAAAAATGATTGATTGTTAAGTTGCTGGATAAGCTGAAGAGTCCCTTAAAAGCACTTTGGACAGCGACTGAATCAGGGTTGGAGTCCATTCACTTTCGTTATTATTTTTTCCACTCCATAAAATGTGTCAGAATTTGTAAACCTTTTAGCATCCAACAGTGAATTCACACATGAAAACTTTGCATAAAACTTTAATCAAATTACATATGTAAAGTTGAATTTGACTTAAACATGGTTTAATTCCTTCAAATGCCAATAATATATATTTTTTCAGTTCTAACCAAAGTAGATATGATTTCAACCCTTACGCGAATTTGAACCTAAACCTTTTTTTCCAAACAAAAACCACACAAAAACATTGCATTCTTTCACCACGGCCGCACACACAAAACAAAACCTGATTTGAATATTCATTAATAATTAAAGAAAGATTTTACCTCGACAAGGCACTGCATTTTGACCTGCAGGGAACCAAAACATGACTGGTTGAAAACAAGAACTGCAGAAATTCAAAAACACCGATCAGTTCAGATGCAGAAGGAAGTTAAATAAAAAAGACAAAAGTAGGATACAATCTAAGAGTTACAAAAGAAGACTTTCATTTGAGTGGCGTGTAACACGGCTGTCAATTGAAATTATATTCTGGATTTTTTACAAAGGAAAAAAGAGATGACTGTAGGCTTCCCTACAACACATGTACAACCTTAAATTAGCTATGTTGCCTGCAACACGGCTCATTCTGTAAACTCATGTGACTAAATAACTATTAAGTCATTAATCACTCAGTCAAAATTATGTTTGCATCATGAGCCAATGCAAAGGTTGCACATGCACTACAACAGGCAAGACAGGAAGAAAAAAAAAGGCAAAATATAAAATGTGCTACAGAAGCTAATTTACAAACAAACTTTTTTTTTTACAACTAAAGGACACATTTATCATCGGATGATCTGCTTGGCTGAACCAAGCGTCCTGCCAGAAAATAAATGAAAACATTTGTACCACTTTAAATAAATATGAAATTCAACCAAGCAATTTGTATATTCATCATTTTTTTTTTTTCACACACACACACACACACACACACACACACACACACACACACACACACACACACACACACACACACACACACACACACACACACACACACACACACACACACACACACACACACACACACACACACACACACACACACACACACACACACACACACACACACACACACACACCAGGGAATGCAACAAAAAAACATGATAGCTTACATAACTTAAAACAGGAAAAATAGTTTGACGAAGACATTTCTAACTAAAACAAAACAAGATTTTCATCTGAGTGCATAATGAGAATGTTTGCTGCTTTTCTTCAACTGAATACCAATGTGGTTAAGATCCAATTCATGAAGAAGCATGTGGGGACCAAATGTGAACAACAAGAAGGAATTTATCCTTTTGAGGCTAACATATTAGATTTAAGGCATGAACGCTCACTTTCCAAACTTTTCCGGCCCGTCCACACAGCGGCGTGCGTTGAAGCTTGCCGGCAGGCGTGTCTGAAACTCGACCAACAACCAATCACATGAATCTCCCGCCCCTGACACACAAGCATCGGTTTGATTGGCTTTTGCAGCGAGCCACGCCAGCAAAGCTCCGCTTCGCTTCCCACAATGCAGTTCGGTGAAAAGTGACGTCACCCCATTCAAAGTGAATGGTGAAGCTTTCAACGCTTCTGCCCATTCACTCTGAATGGGGTGACATCACGCTTTGCCGAACTGCATTGTGGTTCCGTCGCTTCGCTTTGCTAGCGTGGCTCGCTTCCAAAGTTGAGCAATGTTCAACTTTTGAAGCTTCGACGGAAGCGTCAGCCAATCAAATCAAAGCGGAGCTTTGCTGGCGTGGCTCGCTGCAAAAGCCAATCAAACCGCTGCTTGGGTGTCTGGGGCGGGAGATTCATGTGATTGGTTGTTGGTCGAGTTTCAGACACGCCCAAGCTTCAAAGAATGCCGCTGTGTGGACGCTGAGTTACTGAACAACCCCAACACATCCCTGGTTTCACTTCCTCCTTTCACTTCCACAGAACTTTCCCTGAAGGCCTTGCTGCTCTACACCGGTTAGAATGGGCACAGCAAAAAACAGCTGTTCTTTGATCCACCCATAATGAAGAAGATGCTTTTATATGAAATATAATATATGAATTATAATATGAAACGATGGTTTGTGAGGAGCTCCCCCCGCATGACAATAACAGTCATGTGCTTTGTGGAGCATCGGTCTACAGGCATCTGGTGATCTCACTTGAACCCTTGACTGAAAAAAATGAAACAACAATTTTCCTTGTTTCTTATTATCGCCCTACATTACACCCCATACATGTTTGCATCAAAATCATTTTAAGACTTTGCTCCGCTCCCCGAACACCTGAGACTATAAAGGCTAAACGCCAAGCTAACTAATAGAGGAACACAAATTCAGTATTAGTTTTAAAATCACTAACTGCAGCACACCATCATAACCTGGTTTCCCGCACACCAACAAAACACATCCCGGATAATTGCTTGTTTTTCCACATCATCACTGAAGTGTCTCCTTTTGTCATTTAGACACTAAGATAAAGATAAAGATAAAATGGCCTTTAAGTTGTTGTTTTTTTGAATTTCCAAATTATTAATATTTAAAATGTTATGGTATCCGTTTATGTTACCATATTATACAGCATGATAACATCACTTTTAGAGTAGCTGAAGCGCAGGTAAAAAGCTAGCGTTAGGCTATAAAGGAACTACATCCACCGTGTTCGTAGTGATGACCGTAAAGTTCATTTTGCCCCTTGTTAGCACCAGACATTCACCAGTGAAGTATTAACTGACATATTTTATGTGGTAGAACAAAATGTAAAAATCTTGTAAGCTTATGTTAACAACAGACCTTATTTTAGGCATCTAACCAGAAGGAAAAAAACCTTGTGATTTGTATCTGCATCTTGTTGGTGTAAAGGAAACCAGCCCTATGAGTCCATATTCCACACACCAACACCTGCTCATCCACTTGGATTAAACATTATCAATAACAAAAGAAATATCAAAATAATAACATTCATATAAATAATTTAAATAGCTATACTAAAGCTAAATTCTTGGTCTAAAATTGTAATGGCCAGAGAAGTGCTAATAATGTTATTTTAGGGACTGAGATTTTTACACAAAACATTTTCCCAGCACACTTAAAACATTAAGTTTGTGTTTTTGACAAAGATTTGCAGCCCTCAATTTGAAGCCTATAGGGAAGGAAGGAAGAAATCTAGAAGTCTCCTTGCTCCTCCTCCTCCTCCTCCTCGTCTCCTTCATCTAACTGTCCCCCAACACTTGCGATAGGTCGCCAAAGTCACAATCGAACAGTTCACTGATGCCCTCATTGTCTTCCAATCCAAAGTGGTAGTCGTGACTGTGAGGCGGGGACAGGTTGATAAAACCGTCCAATGGGAGAGGGAGGCCGTCTCCATTCAGGAAGTCCGAGGAGGAGAGGGGGGACAGGTTGAAGTCGGGCATGTCTCCGAGGCTGGAGAACGGGTCGCCTCCCAGGAGAGATTCTGGTGTAGAAAGTGAAATGTCAAAGAACATACACAACCACGGTAAGATTGTTCTAGATAATTTTAGATCTATCATTATTTGGCAAACATGTGTATTAACCATTTTCTGAAGGTGTATTTACAGTGGGGCAAAAAAGTATTTAGTCAGCCACCAATTGTGCAAGTTCTCCCACTTAAAAAGATGAGAGAGGCCTGTAATTTTCATCCTAGGTATACCTCAACTATGAGAGACAAAATGAGAAGAAAAAAAAATCCTGAAAATCACATTATCTGATTTTTAAAGAATTTATTTGCAAATTATGGTGGAAAATAAGTATTTGGTCAATAACAAAAGTTAATCTCAATACTTTGTTATATACCCTTTGTTGGCAATGACAGAGGTCAAACGTTTTCTGTAAGTCTTCACAAGGTTTTCACACACTGTTGCTGGTATTTTGGCCCATTCCTCCATGCAGATCTCCTCTAGAGCAGTGATGTTTTGGGGCTGTCGCTGGGCAACACAGACTTTCAACTCCCTCCAAAGATTTTCTATGGGGTTGAGATCTGGAGACTGGCTAGGCCACTCCAGGACCTTGAAATGCTTCTTACGAAGCCAATCCTTCGTTGCCCGGGCGGTGTGTTTGGGATCATTGTCATGCTGAAAGACCCAGCCACGTTTCATCTTCAATGCCCTTGCTGATGGAAGGAGGTTGTCACTCAAAATCTCACGATACATGGCCCCATTCATTCTTTCCTTTACACGGATCAGTCGTCCTGGTCCCTTTGCAGAAAAACAGCCCCAAAGCATGATGTTTCCACCCCCATGTTTCACAGTAGGTATGGTGTTCTTTGGATGCAACTCAGCATTCTTTCTCCTCCAAACACGTCTAGTTGAGTTTTTACCAAAAAAGTTCTATTTTGGTTTCATCTGACCATATGACATTCTCCCAATCCTCTTCTGGATCATCTAAATCAGGGGTGCCCACACTTTTTTGGCTGGTGATGATTGTGAACACTCCGATAATGCCTCTCCACGTTACCTTTCTTTGGCAGAGCGACGCTTGCTTTACAAATAAGGCAAATAACCTTTGAATGTGACATCACAAAAAAATATTCTTCCTCCCATTCTGGATGGAAGTGGTTTGTCTTTAGCTTTTTGCTCGGTCCCGCACTCATTTTGTTGTTGGTCTCTTTAACTTAATTTGAGTTTTCCCGGCACTTGACTGATTTTGTATCGCTTTGCATTCTGGGTTAACAGACTGGAAAGCGATAGGTCGCTTTTTCTGTCAATCAAGTAAACTCCTGAATTAAGTGGCAGGGAGGCCAAGGGAGGAGGGATCAAAACCTGTTTTGTCTATTTTCGGAGCTGGATTTTTTTTTTATGAATGACTCGCGATCTACCAGCATTGCCCCCACGGTCGACCAGTCGATGTACTGGGCACCTCTGATCTAAATGCTCTCTAGCAAACTTCAGACGGGCCTGGACATGTACTGGCTTAAGCAGGGGGACACGTCTGGCACTGCAGGATTTGAGTCTCTGGCGGCGTAGTGTGTTACAGATGGTAGCCTTTGTTACTTTGGTCCCAGCTCTCTGCAGGTCATTGACTAGGTCCCCCCGTGTGGTTCTGGGATTTTTGCTCACCGTTCTTGTGATCATTTTGACCCCACGGGGTGAGATCTTGCGTGGAGCCCCAGATCGAGGGAGATTATCAGTGGTCTGGTATGTCTTCCATTTTCTAATAATTGCTCCCACAGTTGATTTCTTCACACCAAGCTGCTTACCTATTGCAGATTCAGTCTTCCCAGCCTGGTGCAGGTGTTTCTGGTGTCCTTTGACAGCTCTTTGGTCTTGACCATAGTGGAGTTTGGAGTGTGACTGTTTGAGGTTGTGGACAGGTGTCTTTTATACTGATAACGAGTTCAAACAGGTGCCATTCATACAGTTAACGAGTGGAGGACAGAGGAGGCTCTTAAAGAAGAAGTTACAGGTATGTGAGAGCCAGAAATCTTGTTTGTTTGTAGGTGACCAAATACTTATTTTACAGAGGAATTTACCAATTAATTCATTAAAGATCCTACAATGTGATTTCCTGGATTCTTTCCCCCCATTCTGTCTCTCATAGTTGAAGTGTACCTAGGATGAACATTACAGGCCTCTCTCATCTTTTTAAGTGGGAGAACTTGCACAATTGGTGGCTGACTAAATACTTTTTTACCCCACTGTATATACACATTTGGAGAGGTCAAAGCAGGATAAGCACAGGTGGAATTTGTCTACAATAGCTGCACGCCTTGTGCTGAGTCAGTTCCCAGGAACTGTGTTGTGCTTGCTGACTAGTTGGCAACGAACAACATTGGTAACACTTTTGCCTTTCCTGGTAACTGTGGTTTCATCAGCACACAATACAACAATACGAAGTTGTGAGGTCACAGAACAGCCGGTTGCTGAAATGCATTTTGACACAGTTGGCACATTTTCGATTAAACACATTGAAGAAAGACTGCAAATGCATCAGCCATACCATATTAGCTAGTCCTTACTTTTTACAATGTAAACACAATACTGGCATGACAGTTTGAAAAAATGGGAATCATAGGTAGCCTTAGTAGCTACTTCTTTTTATGTGGAGTACAAGCTTACCAGCATGATGGGTAATACTAAATGTGACCTAAAATGTATTTCATTGTATTTCATTTTAAGTAAATGTTTTGCAGTGAAGGTACAGGTCACACTGTTACAAAATAAGGAATACTCCAACTCCACTCTATAGACAATTTAGGGGAACATATCTTTATCAATCTGATCTCTTAAAATAACAGATTTGTACATTTTGAAGGGAATCCTGCCTTATCATTTAAGTATGGTTTTTACATTTATTTACTGACAAATGTAAACGCTCACCTGTTTCCTCCCCTAACGCCATGGAGGAGGGGTCCTGCTGGGAGGTGGCTGTCACCGTGGACGACGTGGACGCTGGAGATGATAAACCCACCTCAAGAGCGGCTGCGGAAGTTCTGGCTTGCGATTGGTCCATGGGTTGTGAGGGAGGCGGGACCAGGGAGGGGTCGGAATCGGGTTTGGAGGGACTACTTCCTGTCACGGGGCTGCAGACGCCGGAACTTTCTTCTGGACAGAGGAAGACGTCGATTTGCCCCCGTGTGCTCTTCAGGGACACCTGGTAACCCTGAGAGACAGATGTGTACACGGCACAGTTGAAATACGGTTTAATGTTTCTTTAGAACTATTAAAACATTGAAAATATGTATAATGAAACTAGCAAGCTTTAAGGAAGTTTACAGAAAGAATACATATATTTGAAAAAGTTTTCAAGGACTTGACATTTTTTCCTGAAATTCATAAACTTTCATGAATTTGGAGGACCTGTGGGAAACATGACCTATGATACTTGTGTAGTTATATTTATTTAGTTAAAAAGTCAAAGCAATCTGGTTCGATATTATAATTTTTTCATGGGATCTTTTTCCTTTTGTTGCTGTTTTATTTGCAGTGTCTTCTATCTTTTCAAGAATTACATTCCAATACTTTTCCAAAAAAACAAATAAAGACTGTAGACATCTATCTGAACTTAATTGAGTGAACTGCTCTTACACTGAGTCCTAACAAAACGTGAGCAGGTGTTGATTGCATACTTTGATTGAGGAATTATCTATTCAATACTCATTTCACTATAAACATAAATAAAGTTGCAGCTTGCTGGAGGGAGAACGCCTGAGAGTGTCCTTCTTGCTGTTGGGTATATTGTACGCAATTTCCAGTAAATATAACAATATAAAATGTGTGTTTTGTGATGGAAAAGTGCAAATGGTGATGTTGAATTGGTCACCTCCCCAGTCTAGTATAAAGCACACGTGTGATATGTACATTTATTGTTTAACAGAATGTATGTTAAATGTATACAGTGTTGGGACATCAAGTCACTCTCGCCGGCATCATTACGGTTGTTCTTGACCTATTCCTTTTTCAGCTTGAGAGAAGAGTTGATTGTCTGTTGTTTTTTTCTTCCTTTCAGATATATATATTTTCGAAATGTAGAACAATTGTTGCCTCGCCTACCTCAGAATCAACATGTTTTAAACAGTGAATAACATTAAGGCCCGTACCTGGCTGGGTTCTGAAACCTGCATCTGGGTCTCTGGTGGAGCTCGGACCACCATGACCAGCTGGTCCGGGGAGTCAAACGACTTCTTCAGGTCCTGGCAGCGCACATAGCCCAACGTGAAGAACCGTTAAGGAACACAACAACAATCTAAAACTGCAACACTGTCTTAAAGAAGCTCTGCTATCTTGGGGCTTGTTATCTTTAAGTGCCCTTTTTTCCAGAGCGACATTGTGATTTAAAAAAATATTTCTAATGAGAGATTGCAAGTCCATGCGGCCTCCTCAAGAAAACGTTTTTTCCTTTCTGTTAGTGCACTATAGTATTTGTTCGACCGCTTTGAGGCTTGAAGTTGAACATATTTGTACCTTTTCAGGAAAAAGCGCTGGTGACATCGATGTAGAAATCAGGCGAAGCTGGTTTTTTTCTGTGTATTTTAGATAGAAACTACCATAACAAATACCAATACGCTTATTTTGTTGGAGCAGATCGGTGAGGACTTATGGTCATGCTTTGATCGTTCTACTGGCTTTGTGGGAGTCTGAGAGGGGACAGGCTCAGTTCCCAAAAGTTTGAGAAGAATCATTTAAAAAAAGATATAGTGGCACAAACAGTTCATCCAAGGGGATAGAGCTGGTTTGTCTTATCAAGCGGTGATACATCAAGGTACTTATGTAATTAAAACAAGTGTTAGGAGGAGGCTCTTCCTAGGGCCCTAGCAGGGCATTTCTGCCAGAAACAGGGCTTGGAAGGGCACTTAGCTAGCTGTAAAAATTAAACAAGTTACTAAAACTGGTGTAAGGATATTTCTTGTTCTGCTGGTCCTCTGTGAGCAGTCGCAGCTGTAGGTTGCATTTTGAAATGAGGTCGTCCAGCTGCTCCTCAGCCTCTGTGAGGTCACACACCTCCCTCTGCAGCTCCTTATGGCGGGAAACCACTGCCGCATCAACTCGATTACCACTACACAAGAGAAATTACAGAAAAAAGTAAACAATAGTTGAGCTTTATAGAATCCAAATACAACATACCAGCAACTTCTTAAAGGGATAGTGGAAATGGAACCTCAAATAGTTTCGTTTTAACTTATATACAAGCATAATTACGTACCAAAACAATCACACCTGATTAAAAAAATATAATAATTGCCTTACGCATGTTAGAAGCACTTTATTGCAGCTTCCCCGAAGTTTTTTAGAAACGAAATGTTCGACTCAGCCAAACCGGAAGTGACGAAAACTTAGGAAGACGATACGATAACAAACCATGGCGTCTATGCAGAATGAACGTGGAAGGGCAAATATACCAGACAAAGAAGAAGGATTGTACGAGGTATCCAGTGATGATAGCGAGTCAGAAACATCCTCTCGGCTTTCCTACGAAAATGTCGTTTTAGGAACTGAATCTGAATCCGGTTCAGTAAGCGACGATGGTGACAATATTGAGCCAGACGATGGACCATTACGTCCTTATTTGTTCGAGCCCGAGCCCGAGGTGATGGTTCACGGCATGGGCAATGGCGAGGATGACCAGGACCAGGCGCCAGATGATGCACCCCTACGCACAAATAATCTTGACTGGTAGGTCCCTAAGCATAGCTCACGCATCTTAAGATCACCTGTAGCCTTTACAAATATTAATCATTGTTAACCAGTTAAGCCCGAAGGTCCCCCCAGTGGACCCCTCCCACAGTTTTTTTCCTCTCACATGTCTCAGGGCTTCTTAACATTTATGAAACTATTAATGTTTCATACCCTTTTAAAGGTAAGAAACTCCGCTAACTGACAATAAGAACAATTGTTAGCTAGAAAAAACACAAGCGTAATACCAAGCCTTTGAATTAGCATTGAGCGAAACAATGCTAACTAATGCTAACGCTTTTTTACACACAACACACGGTAGAAATGCCCTTATTACTATCTTAACTGCACAAACAAGATATACGATTTAAAGCTGAGACTCCACAGATGTAATGTCATCACTGTAAGACCTCGAATTCCTGGAGCTATCAGCCAGAAAAGAGAAAGTAAACAACATCCGGTTCCAAAAATATTACAATAATTACGTTTTACCTTTTTTGATTTGTGATCAAAAGTTGTGTTCAACGGAATAAAAACGCATCTCAAGGTTAATCCAATGTCGTTGTGTCACGTAGAATTTTTTACTGATAATCAATCATCATATTTATGGCAATATACTCGGCTATTCACATGCAAATGCTATTGAATGTCCGCCATTGTTTGTGCCCGTCTTCCTATGCTCTCGTCATCACCCGAAGATTCCCGACGATTCCCGAAGTATTTCGTTTCATTGAGAGGGCGCAGTAAAATTGAAAATAAAATGAAACTAGGCGCATGAAATTAAAAAAAATGGTTTATTATGCTTATTTTTAATAAAAATACATAAGTTAAACCCAAAATTCGTGGATTTCCACTATCCCTTTAAGTTTTTTTTATTGCAATAGTTGGTGTTTATATAGTCATGTTTGGTTCTCATGCTAACTCACAGCCACTGGATGTTGTTCTTGGACTTCTTGGAGATGAGCTGGATTCCCTCCAGCACGTTGGTGATGTCGTAGATGCGTCTCTTCTGGACATCGAGGACCTGCGAGGCCCAGTTCAGGTCCACCACGCCGTCAGCAGACTGGGACAGAAGGTTCAGGAAGCGCTTGGTGGTCAGGTTCAACGAAGTGTCATAGCGGGACTTCTCCGTCGTTGTTCGAGGGACTGAAGAGAGGAAACATATGGGTTCTGACATTCTGCTTTTAGACAAACTGGGTAGTTTGTTTTTACTGTAAAACACCTCCTTAATGCCCTTCAGCAGACTGAAGCAGTACAGAAGAGCAGCATCTCTCCGAACTAATGGATTATAGGCTTATCTTGTCTTCCCAACAACATAACATGGCAATTACAAGTGGGAAATTACAACTCAAGAGTACAAACTATCATTCTTCTTTTGGATTGTTCTGGTTTCATGTGATGGATGCAACTGGGATTATTGGAGTATAATTATAAATTGATTTAAGTAAACCTTACTTTTCAACTGGCTAGTTAATGTGTTAATGTTTGCACTCCCTGTCAACAAGTTACATTATGTATTAATCTTATTACATGAATTTGCAGTTTTTTTATTTGTGAAAGTACACTAAAAGTGTTAGTCACACAAACTACCAAACCCTGTCTGTCTTTCACACTCCATGTTTTTGTTTGTGTGCTGTGGCAAAGTCTATGCAACTAAAGCTTTCTTTCCTGTTTTTTGAACTTATTAACCACATTGATTATTTAAGGTCAATAGGAGGGAGACAGCAACATAAATCAATAAATAAAATATTTCTTCCCATTTGTTTTTTTTCCAATCATTTGAATCATTTCTGATATGAGTTTGCCTGCTGTTGTCACAGAATGGCTGTTGTCTCTGCTGATAAAAAGAACAGCTGTTTTTTGGACAATGACTTCTAAAACAAAGGTCAAAGTTTGTATGGTTTGAATGGACGTGCTGCTCACGTGTAGCTGCTTCTGCTGTGAATTTTGGGTAACAAAGAGGGGAAAAAAGCAGTGGTAAGCTGTCAGTGAGTGTGTGTGTGTGTGTGTGTGTGTGTGTGTGTGTGTGTGTGTGTGTGTGTGTGTGTGTGTGTGTGTGTGTGTGTGTGTGTGTGTGGTGTGTGTGTGTGTGTGTGTGTGTGTGTGTGTGTGTGTGTGTGTGTGTGTGTGTGTGTGTGTGTGTGTGTTGTGTGTGTGTGTACCTCTCGGAGGGGCAGGTGTGGAGGGCGGTGCATGGCCTATGGACGGGCGAGTGGTGCTGAAATACTGATGGTCACTATCCAGGTCCAATTTCCTCTTTACCTGCAGAAAACACATGGTCGAGAACAACAATGTGTTATGAGGAAAATTACTGAAAATGAAACTCCCTGTTGAATTAAAATCAAATCGTCTTAAAACAACAGGTAGATGCCCTTATATTCTTCCAACATATCCCCGTATTCCTCACCGGAGGTCTCCCCAGGGCCGGTCGCCTCTTGTCCTGGACATCAACGGGGCCCTGTGGCGTGGCAAACAGCAGGATCTCCCCCGTGCTGGTGGGGGCTGCGATCGGGTGGAGTCCCTCATTGCTGGGGCTGGTGATGATCACTATCTGGTGGTCCTCAGCCAGGTCAATGCTCCCAGAGTTCAGCAGAGTCTCAAAGTCAGCCAACAGATCCTCTGATGTGTGGCCCGTGATCAGAGTCTCTGACATTGCAGTGTGTCACTTAAAACCCCTTTAATGGACGTCAAGGGTTGCACACTAAAATGCTGCAACTTGAGTTTCAGCACACTCTTGGGTTTGATAGTAAACAATAATAAAACCCCTTAAAAGTTTGCTTGGTTATGGGGAGCTTTAAAATTGCTTAAAAAAAGTTCCCCTCTCTGTGTTGTCCATCTTATAAACAAGCAATTACAAATGCATTATAACTAGCAATATTACCTAGATAATAAGCTACTGCTCACCACCACTTTAAGGCTGGTGGTGACACAGCAACACAGGATGTTATGCCAAACAGGACATTTGGCAAATAAAACTGAGCTAAATGCATAACAACTGATATAGCTCACATATTAAAAAATAAAGAGTCGAAAATTAGCCGTGGCAGAAATAAACGCAGGGGGTTAGCGAGCTAGCATGGGAGCAAGCTAATCTTTTGTTGTCATCTGTCCTGTCAGTACAGTACAGCCGTGAGGCCTGGCCACACTGCACCTAACACAACCTCTGCTAATAAGCTAGCTTAACAACAAACAAGTTAACAAACTACACGGTCAAGCCGAGAAAATAGCTATTTAAGTATTTAAAACATTAGTATTTCTCCTTACACATAAGTAAGGGCTTAGTCAAATTAATAGTAAAACTTTATAGCAGCATTACAACAGTGGGCTATCGAAATAAAAATATCAAACCGACACTGTAACCCAGAAGCATTTTGCAAGCACATGTAATGACGCGAAAGGCAGTTAAGCGGAGTGTAAAGCGGTATGGTTGAATATGAAAATATAGGGCAGATTAGCATGCTAGCTGGGTTATTAGCTGCAATTCTCCAACCCCCTCGTTTTGTTGGGGCACGCAGGAAGCAGTCTGACTTAACTAGAAATGTAAGGAAATAAACCGGTGAAATAAACCCTCATCGTTTAAAAGACCATTCGCGGTTCCGTGGGGTGTTCACACCGGGCGCGGTCCATTTATAAAAGCGCCGTTCCGACCCAGATATCGGCTGTTATTGTTGTTATTGTCCCAGCTGATCTACATCTAAACAGGGATCGGACGGTTTTCGCGCGAAATCTTTTTTGCCGCGAAAGTGACATGTGCCTCAATCCGACGCTTGCGATTGGTCGACAAGCAGCCCTTTCCGGAGTAAGGGAACGGCTGCATCTGATTGGTGTAAACAGTTGTCTGTTATTTCAGCGCGGATTCATCGATGTGATGTGATGTTGCATTCAGTATCCAGGATTCAAAATGATCGTTCTAGCATCACGTTCGTTTTGTCATCTTACATTGAATAACTTCACATTTGTATCACTTCATTTCAAGAAAATGGTTACCCATTCAAAACATGGCGATAAACAAACGTAATTGTGTCTATCACTATGTTTTCCTGTTGTGTCATTCGGAAAACTGTTATTTGGAGAGATGTTGAACCTCAACCATATTTTCTAATGATTACAGGAAAAAGAAGGCTGTATATCCGTTTAGTTCATATTTTTAACACCCACCAGTCTATTATGAAGACTTCCTAGGAATATGTTTTACTTTAACTGTTTAGTGTTGTAATTCCCCATGATTCAGTTAGCGCCTCAAACAGGCAGCCCCTGCTAATCGAGCGCCTATCGCGCAGCAGAGGAGCTACAAGATGGCGCAGGCAATATTTGAAGTGCTTGAAGGTAGGAACATTTGTTTATAACTACGTAATTGCAAATACAATTAAACGTGAATGTACTTTGTCAACACTTTCAATAAACCAGGACCCTTTCGGTGTGCAGAACACTCCCTATAAAACCATGTAAATGTGTCTATCTTCGTAATAACAATCATAACATCCCATGTAATGAAGAGTGATAGACTGTAAACAAACAAATATATTGTGAATTGTCCATATCTTATGGACAGCTTGGATCTGGAAGTCTTTTTTATCACATTGCAGGCATGCAATGCAGCCATTATGTATCCCTCTCTTGCTATCTAGACTCCATTTACATTTTTAGCAGCAGGCTCTTTTGATGACAACACACTGTGTTGATGGTATAAGGGCAAATAGAGTATCTGTTGAAGCTAATTTGCGTTGATCAGATGCTTTGTGTATATTAGTTTATTGAGGTGTCAATCATTAGATGCGTGTAACATTTCCAAAATGTGTTATCAGATCAATATAGGTTAAAAGAGATGCTGGAGAATACACAATATAATGCTGAACTCGATTTAGAGCATGCATCGTTTTTCTATATTACATCTGAAGGTGTACCTGACTATGATCACATCCTTGGTGAAATTAATTATAACAAGACACAATCCATCACCAGTGCCAGACGCTGTTCCTTCCTCTTAGCTTATTACCCTGACCCCTTTACAGTGGAATAACTACATAGCTGGGCATAATAGAATATAATTGGAGGGATGAAACCCTCTTTAATGGTCACACATGCAGAGCACACAGCACACAGTGACATTTGTTCTCTGCTTTTAACCCATCCTAGTACCAGGAGTCTAGTACAAGGAGCAGTGGGCAGCTATTGTACAGCGCCCGGGGAGCGATGGGAGTGGGGTTTATTCCGGTGCCTTGCTCAAGGGCACCACGGCAGGGCAGGAGGTGAACTGGGACCTAGGGAGTAGAAGTCCACACTCCATATTTAGGTCTGGTCGGGGACTTGAACCTACGGCTCACAGTACAAGCCCCTACTGACTGAGCCACTGCCGTGACTTATTATTTATTTATTAATCCTGGTCATCTACATGACGATCCGAAGCTGTGTGCGCTACTTGCTGGTCGTAACTGTCAGACCTTTTAATCTGTGTTTTAATATGTCTGTTTTTAAAGCACTCGCTGGAGCAGTGACTATAAATCTCGTTGTATTCTGTACAATGACAATAAAAGCTTTTGAATTTTTGAATTGTATTACACATTTCCTTCTCAGGCATGGATAACCAGACAGTGTTGGCGGTCCAGTCTCTGCTGGATGGCCAGGGTGAAGTTCCTGACCCAAACAACCAGAACGTCTCTGGGACGTCCACGATCCAGACCATGGGTATGTACAGAAATCACAGTGAATGACAGCTGAGCGATAACCGAACAAACTCTATGTTCGGGTAATTTCTTTATTTGGCCAGTGACATGCATTACATTCACTCTATGCCCTATATGAGATCAAATGTTGTTCATTTGTAATTGTGAACCCTGCACATTCCTCTATTATTTGCACATTTTACACCTCTGACTATATATTTCAGAGTAATTAGTTATATTTTAATTGTCATTCATTTTCTGTATGTTTATATTTCTTGTAAAGATTTCTCTTTATTTTTAAATAGTTATGAATATACTTAATTGTCCTTACAGTGTCTATGTATGCACAGTTATACACTAAAGCAAATTCCTTTTATGTGTTTACCTACTTTGCAATAAATACACAAGATAAGATAAGTAGGGACTATAGATTGAAATGTACTATCTTTTATTATAAATTACCATTTTATGACTGCATATTCAGCACCTCAAACCTGCATGTGTCCCCCCTACAGACGACGAGGACGTGTTCCTGTGTGGGAAGTGCAAGAAACAGTTTAATTCCCTGCCGGCCTTCATGTTACACAAGAGGGAGCAGTGTCAGTCCAGCGTCCCCTCGCTGTCCACAGTGTCCCTGGCCTCCACCAACGCCTACACACCGGTCCCTTCCATCAGCTCGGGGCCACAGACTCCTGCCAACAGACAGGTGAGGATAATTATAGGGTTTTTAATGAGATAAAGTATTTGATCAATATCTACTTTTTTAAGTTTTAAATGAACAGAAGCTGATAACAAAAACTAGTATACAAAAAAACACAGGGACTAGGCAAGGTAATAGAAAAATAAAAAAAGCAAAATAAAACAAGGAACAAACCGGGGGTGTCAAGAGCAACACAAGGAATAATCCAGATACAGAAATATGGACGACAGAACCTCAGCAGGAAACCATCGACAGGAACATTGACGACAAACTGCAACACTGTGAAAGACAGGCATATATACACACACAGGACTAATGACATAACCAAGACAAAGCTGGAACTAGGTAGAGACCTAAGGGCAGCAGGGCTGTTTAACACAGGTGGATATAATCAGGGTGGGGCACACTATCTAAAAAGGCGGGAAAACACAAAGACGGGAAGTGAAACCAGACATCAAGCCAAGAAAAGGGATCTTACAAAATAAAGCAGGAAACACAAGATCCTGACAGTGAGAGCAGGACTATAAGAAAAGGAGAATTTATAGAGATGTGTAAAGATAAAACTGTGCAGTAACATTTACTTTGTCTTATGACACAAAGACAAATATGTATTTTCCTTTTATAAAAGTATTTAACAAAGTAGGTTAGAATTATTTTTACAATCGTGCATGCTTTCTCACTTGTTAATTCTGATCTTTTGTGTATTTCCCACAACTTCTGCTTCAGGTGTCCACCTACATCACAGTGCCTCCCTCCCCCCTCACACACACCCTGGTGCAGGGCAACGTTCTGGTCAGTGACGACGTTCTCATGTCGGCAATCTCCGCCTTCACCTCCATCGACCAGCCTATGGCCTCCATGCAGGCGCCAATACAGGTGATACAGCTCACATACAGTAGCACAGCAGATCAAGTAGGCTTTTTATTTAAGGGAAAAATGGGGGTATATATGTATTTATGACTTGCGTGTTATTTGTTAACACGCAATTCTTAAAGAAAACGTTGTTTTTTAAGCATGACACAATGACGAATAAAGATATTCTTGATAACTAAAAGTATATGGTGACTGCGAGCAACAATGGCACAACTGTGACATACATCCAAAAGTGTTATTTAATGTTTTAATTCACAGAAATGTAAAAACAGTTTGCCATTAACAGTGCATGCATGTATGAGCAGTGCGCCTGTGTGAGACCTGAGCTTCCTTTTTTCACAAATTCTTCAACAATAAACTTGAAATGATCATTTCTAGTTAGAAGTATTTGTAAAGTGTGACGTGATATTCGGACAAAAACGTGCTTTAGGAATCATTCTCGTATACATTATATGCTTCATCAATGTTGCTGTT